TAAGCCACCGGGTCCGGGACGCGAACCACGGTCGACTACGTGGGAGTCCAGCGACATAGCCATTACGCTAACTGCTGGTTCCCAAATTGGGTTGTTTTTTTATTGTTGAGTTTTTGAGAATTCCTTATATATTCTAGACCTTTATGAAATGTGTGCTTTGCAAATATTTTCTTCCAACCTTTTGTTTGACTTTCTATTTTCTTTTTTTTATATAATTATTTTATTTAATTTTATTTATTTATTTTAATTTGACCAGGAAGAGACAGAGTGAGCGAGAGAGAGAGAGAGAAAGAGAAAGCAAGCCGCCAGGTCCGGGGATTGAGCCCCAGGTCGCCAGACAGAGAGAGACCTAGAGACAGAAAGCAAGAAATCACCCCCCAGGGGGCATGGTCACGCCGCAATCCCTTCTCCTCCATTCTCCTCCTGGGATTCTGGGCACGCACGCACACACACCCGGCGTGTTTTAAGCCACCGGGTCTGGGACGTGAACCGCAGTCGACTACGTGGGAGTCCAGCAACATAGCCATTACGCTAACTGCTGGTTCCCAACTTTCTATTTTCTTAACATTGTCTTTTGCAGAGAGAAAAATTTAAATCTAGATAAAGTCTAATTGATTCTTTTGTCTTTTAAAGATCATGCTTTTGGCACTATATCTTTTTAAAAAAATCTTAATCAAACTCTAAACAATGCAGACCTTATCCATTCTACAAGTTGTTTTTTTTCCCCCCCTTTGGAGAGGTTTTTGCCATAGGGCTCGTGCGCTTGCCAGACAGACAGAGAGTGAGACAGAGAGACAGAAAGAGAGAAATCACCCTCCCCCCGGGGTAAGGCCACGCCACAATCCCTTCTCCTCCATTCTCTCGGGATCTTGGGCATGCACTCACATGCGCCTGGCGTGAGTTTAAGCCACCGGATCTGGGATGTGAACCGCGGTCGACTACATGGAGTCCAGCGACATAGCCATTATTCCAACTGCTGGTCCCCATTCTAAAAGTTTTATCTTTCTATTTAAATCCATTTTGGTGGCCAACAAATGGTTAAGGACTCCCACATGGCTAATTGTGGTTTGATTCCCAGGCCCAGTGGCTTAAAGATCATGCCATGCACATGTGTGTGCATGCCCAAAATTTCAAGAGAATGGAGGAGAAGGGATTGCTGCCTGGCCGTCCCAGAAATAACCAGAGGGTGATTTCTCACTTCTCCTCTCTCTATCCCTCTTTGGCATTGATGTAAGGATAGGCACATAGACCAATGGAACAGAACAGAAATGGGGAGAACTGATGATGTTTGTCAGCTGTTCATCCCTCTGTGCAAAAATGTACTCTCTCTGTTTCTTACCAGAAAAAGGGCAAACACCTTACTCTAGTACTCAAAGCCTCATATAGTTGTAGAAATAAGGTAACTAGGAAGTTCCAGGCCTGTCACAAAATAGAGAATCTGCCTACTTTAAAACATTCAAATTTGAACCACTTCTCACCTATAAAAAAAAAAAAAAATCTCTGCATCTTAGTGAAAAGAATACCTTTTGCCTCTAAATTTGACTCCCAGGCAGTCCTCAGGAGATAATACTAGAATAATATACAAAGGGACTTCAAGAAGTCCATAGAAAATTGTAGTTAAGGTATGAGTTCATTTTGGTGCCAAAAAAATTGAAATTCATGCATAATGTTTTCATAATTTGAATTTTTCATGAACTGTTTGAAGACTCCATGTAAAGTTATGCTGACAAAATATTTGAAGATTAACCTTGTGTCAGCTCAGGAAGAAAGTGTTCTTTCCTCCTAAGATTAGAATCTAATATTCAGCCAAATCAAATGCTTTTTTTTTTATGATCTTCAGATCTCAGCACTTGTACACTTGAGTGTATATTAAACCTGTTATTCCAGTGATCTGGCCTAGACTATACCATATTTATGAATTGGAAGACCTACCTCAGATTTTTTTTTTTCCCTCCCAAAATCTTAATTGAAATTGAGAACAACCTCTTGTCAAACAAAGGCTTGACCCTCCCTCAGCAAGATGCCAGACCCTGAGGTCCAGGCACTGCTTGTTCATACCCTCTCTCACTGGTAGTGTTTCCTAAGTCTTGAAGCTGAGCAGGGGCCAAGCAGGAACTGGGTCTCTGCATTTGGTTATCAGTGTCCTAGACATCATTCTCTGGTATTTAGGACTCTGGAATCTCTGGGCCTGTAGCATGTGAGCACTGATGCCCACATGAATCTTTAAGGTAACATTAAGCCATAGCAATGTTCAAAGGATTGCTCCAATGGCCCCCAGTCTGAAGGTCAGTTCTTGGTACAATGCCCAGGCTGTTGAGATGAGGGACCCGAAGTGAAGGCAGGGATCACTTAGCAAGAGCTCTGCCAGCCTGTGGCAGCTGTCTCGGTTCCCTGGTTAATGACCACACAGATTTGCTGCTGCATAGTGCTCTATACCTGTTGAGGCATGTCTCCTCCGTGTCTTTCTTGTCTTTACTTTGCTGCAGGAAGCGATTAGTTCTGCAATGCAGTCAGGGTGTCCAGCAGGACAGAGGCAGGTGCTGGGAGCAAGTCTCTGTGTTGGACTTCTGGTAGATCCTGGTTCCTTAACTTCTTGCTCCCTTTGGACATCCTATAACAACCACATGGCCTCCTTTCCAAATGGTTAGGTGTTTCTGTTTCTTTTCCTAGTCCTAGTTCCCTGCTTTGCAACATATTTGAAATTGTAATACCATACCAGTCCAGACTTTCTACCCCTTAAGGGCCTCACACAGTGCACATTTCGGTGTTCATTTTCCTTCTGTCATTAAGGGGGATTAAAGGCAATTTTACTTTGAGGAATCTCTTATGGCAAGTCCTATGAAATTATGCATGGGAAGAGCAGGTTGAAGGAACAACTTCTAAACAAATTTTGTGTGAAGGAGCCTTAGGTGGAAGTGGTGCTGAGTGCTTGCCCTACTCCAGGCCTGGAGGATCTCTGAGGAGTCTGATAATTGAATGTTGTATACTGAATTGTCTCAGAGTTCAAGTCACCATATGTACTGAGGCATGCTACAGCTATGATGTGTAGAAGGAAGCCAGACTTGGAAGAACATATGGCACATCTTGTTCACCAGAAATTCCAGAGAAGACAAATCCAGACTGTGACAGAAAACAGGCCACTTACTGGGGGAAGGACAGGAGGGAGGGAGGTGGGGGTTGATTAGGAAGGTGTAGGGACTTTTTGGGAAATGGATACAGTCTACGTGTTTATTGGGGTGGTAGTTTCATGGGTGTACACATTTGTCAAAACTCAGGTCTGAGAGGCTGGATGGTAGTGCAGCAATAAAACACAACAATCTGCAAAACTTATCCATATGGGGAGGTTCCATGTTTGTGTCTATAGGCCTCTGTGAGTATGCCAGGTACACACATGACCATAGTCTGGGCAGACTGGGGCTAGAGGTGGGTAGTAATGTCTAGACTCTGTTGGTATTTATCTCTCCCTGTCTCTGTCTCTCTTGCTCACAGAAAAAACAAATAAACTTAAAAAATAAATAAAACCCCAGGCCCAGCAGTGGCATGTTGGTTAAGCCAGCTGGATCCCCATATGGCCAACTATGCAATTCAAGTCCCAGACATGGTGACTTGAAAAACATGCTGGGCATGTGTGCATGTGGGCATGTGGGCCCAAAATTCCAAAAAGAGTGAGAAATAGAGAAAAAAATATTTCATTGTGACCATGCCCCATAAGGGGTTGCTTTCTTACTTTATTTCTCCCTAGCAAGCACGTGTACCCTCTGATCAATTTAAAAAAAAAAAAAAAGACATAAAAACACCTCATAGACCTATACACTTTATATGAATACATAGAAATTTATATCTCAGACCAGCAGTTGATGTAATGGCTATGTCACTGGACTCCCATGTAGTCGACCACAGTTCAAGTCCCGGACCTGGTGGCTTAAACTCATGCCAGGCACGTGTGTGTGTGTGTGTGTGCCCAGAATCCCAAGAGGAGAATGGAGGAGAAGGGATTGCGGCGTAGCCATTCCCCCTGGGGGGTGATTTCTCGCTTTCTGTCTCTCCATCTCTCTCTGTCTTTCCAGTGAGCACGCACGCCCTTATAGCAAAAACCTCTCAAAAAAAAAAAAAAGAAAAGAAATTTATATCTCAATGTGTTGATTAAGAAATGTGTAACAAAAGAAAAATTCTGCAAATATTTGCACAGTTCTCTATTTTTATTCTTTTCTTATTTTTTCTTTTTAAGGTTTTTGCCATAGGGTGTGTGCACTTTCCAGAGAGAGAGAGAGATAAGGAAAATGAAAAATCATCCCCCCCCCCCGGGGGAGATGGCCATACTGCAATCCCTTCTTCTCCATCCTTAGAATTTTGGGCACACACGCACATGCACCTGGTGTGGTTTTCAGGCTGTCAGGTCTGGGGCTTGAACTGCAGTTGACCATGTGGGAGTCCAGTGTCATAACCACCACACCACTTCTGGCCCCTCTTCTTGTTTTCAGAGCTGTTTTGGGCATTTATAACATCCCAAAATGTGTTTCCAGTATCAGTAATTCTCAGGGCTTTTGGTGGTGTTGCGTTTGGTTTTTGGCTTTAGCAAACTGAGAAAACACCTCTGAGTTCAAGAGCTTTGATTGTAAGCCAGTTGATTACACAAGAACAAACAGAACACAATGCAAACATACATTAATTTGTTCCTTCTTGCAGAAAACATCAAGCAGAGATATGCTTTTCATCATGAGTCATACAACATATTTAAACTGCACATGCTCATTTAGCCTCTTCTGATTTTAAAAGATTGTTTACACTATGTGCTACATTTTCTCCCTGCTGTTTGTGTTTGGCTCCATCACTTGTTTTCTATCTTAATAAAAGGTAGCTCTTCATACTTAGCTCCCTTCCTAGGGGGATGAGGGGAACTAATAAGATGTTTTGGAGCCTTCTTCTTCTGACAAAGGTGTAAACAAGTGTGCGGGTGTCCTCAGGTGTTTTCTCTGACTCCTCTCTTCTTCTCCTTCCAGACTCCAGAGCCAGGTGCACACCTGCCAGGTGAAGGTGAGATAGAAGATAACCAGCTGCCCCTATCCCCTGCAGAACCAGACAGGCAGAGATGGAGTCAGGAAACAGACCCCAACGATTTTGAGACACTGTCTCACCAGAGTGAAAGTCGATCAGACACAAAAACTGACCCCTTTGAAAGTGCCTCTGAGACAGAGTCCCTGCAGGGTGACCTCACTGAGGGAGTCTGCCTCCCACCAAGTGGTCCTTCTGTAGATGGAGAAGCAAGCTGGAAATGTCCTGATGCCTCAGCTTCTAGCCCTGCTCCAGAGCAGCATGTGGCCTGTGCCCATGGTCTTGGTGCAGAGGAAGGACTGGATCTGACTGCTGGCTTCAAGGTAGAGTCTTGCAGAAATGAGTGTCGAGCCTTCGCTGCAGTCACTGGAGACGTGGAGGCACAACACCTCTGGAACTGTGTGACCAGCCTGGAGCAAGAGTCTTTGTTGGCAAGGGATCCCCAATGCCCCCGGTGCTGCTGGCGGGGTGCCAGAGAGAGCCCCAGTCCCCAAGCAGCACAGGTGCTGACTGTTCCATACTGCAGGGGCCTCTTGGGAGTTTCTCTTCAGAAATCCAGGTCTGAGAGCTGTCTGAGCCACCCAGTGGTCTGGCCCTCCCCTCTTGGCTGCTATAAACTGAGTCGGAGTTGGACGCATATCCACAACAAAGTCAGGGCAACAGTGCCCCCTCCAGGAGGCCCACTGGACAGTGCATCCCCTCTGTGGGCTGGAACAAAAGAGGAAAGTACTCCAGGCCTCTCCCTAGACACAGACTTGCTCTGGTCCCAGCCCTGTGCTCAAGACCCCTGTTGGTATCCCTTGCAGAAATCTTACCCATGCACCAAGCTTCACCATAGTGCCCCAGAAAATATCGGTGACAAAGATCGGGCATCCCCAGGACCCCACTGTTGGCCCATGAGGACCTTGACTAAGGCCCATTCCGAAACAGAGTTTTTCTTGGGTTATCCTGAGGGTCCCCTGTGGCAGAACTTTGTGAAGTCTGGGGCCCAGTTGGAGGAAGGAACAGAAACAGAAAGAACTCCAAAAACACAGAGCACCTTCCCCCAAGCGCCCACCTGGCAGTCTCCTTTGCTTCCAGCTCCTCACCTGCAGGATCACTACGAACCCAGTGGCTTTAGCTTGGAAAGGGCCTCTCAGGACACACCCTCTGCAGGTCTCCAGCGGGAAAACCAGTTGGGACAGAATTCTAAGTCGTGCCCAGTCTCTTCATGCCTGCCTTCAGAGTTGAAGAAGCTGGGTGCGCAGGAAGTGGCGGCGCCGGCCGTGGGCAGGTCAGAACAGAGCACCGGGAGCAAACCGGGAGAATCCTGGGGCACCCGCCCTGCACCCAGCGCTGCCGATGTGGGAGATGAAGGAAAGCACCTTCCAGACATTGCTGTGGAGGCAGGAAATCAAACTAGTAAGCGCACATCAAAGTACATTCTCAGTGGAAAAAGAAAGCCACTCAGTGTGGCCAAGTTCCCACGTCATTCTAGCAGTGGTGGAACCCGTGTGTGGAACAGAGACTTGATGGGTGGTTCCGAGGTGGGTGACAGTGCAGATGCCCCGGAGACCACCCTGAAGTCAAGTGCAACAGACACTTCAAAGGACCCAGAAGAGGCAATGGTTGTAGACCCCGCCTGCAGGAAGAATGCCCTGCAAAGTCTCTGGGGATTCACAAAAGCCAAAGTGTCTGGATGCAGCACCTGGGACCAGGTGTGTGACCAGGGGCCTGGAGATGGCACCCTCGCTGGCGGGCAGCTGGAGCCCAGAGCAGATGTGGCCTCCGCGGTCGGGTGCGCTCTAGTCATTGCAGCGGTGCAGCGGACCGCCAGTGATCTGCAGGCCAAGGGCAGCACAGTGGATCCGCGTGCAGAAATACAGGCCCTCCACTTTCCAGAGGAAAAGCCGGGATCTTCCCGCAGTTCTGTCGCCATTCGCTGTGGGTCTCCCAGGGCTAGGCAAACACTAACTGATGGCAATGAGAGTGAGAGTGAGCGGCCAGCAGTCCCCACACTGAGTGCTGGGGATCACGCTACTCAGCCGGTGGACCGAACTGCAGAGCCTGGGCGTGTTCTGGTCTCCCGAGCGTCTTCGAAAGAAACGCTGAGCACCGAGAAGCTCTCAGAAGAGAAACCGCCCCCGGAGAGCCAGAGCCCTGAGCTAGAGGGCGCGCACCCGACCCAGGGCCTCTCTGCCGCGGCGAGTTGGGGGCTGCAGAGCCGGGAGCTCAGGCCAGGGGAACTAGGCGCGGAGAACTCAGAGCTCCCGGGAGCAGGGGTCAGTGAGGCCCCCGAGGGCGGCGCTGCTGGAGCCTCGGCGGGAGGGCGGGGCGCCCCAGCCTCGGCCGGCGCCCACGCGCTCCAGCCGCCCGGGCAGACCCGCGAGCTTTGCAAAGCAGCGCACGAGCCAGGGAAGAGCCCGGTGTTTCCCATGGTGACCTCCTTCAGGAAAGGCAGGCTCTCGGCCACAGAGAGCTCTGGAGAGGGCTCCGACCCCCGGGCGCCCGGTGCCCTGACCCCGACCTTGGAAGGCAGCACCCTGGCTAATTCCGGCCCCGAGGAGGAGCTCCCGGCGGAGAGTCGCACCGCCGAGGCGGGCTGGGACCCGGCGTCCCCCAACCATGTGGGCGGGAGCGCTGCTCCTGAGATCGTCTCCTCCCGCGCAGGCAGAGCGGCCGTTGGGCCGAGAGAAGTGGAGGACGTGGGGACACCAGGAGACCCCAGTAGCCGAAGGCCTTCCTCAGAAAGCTGCACCTCAAAGAGACTCAAAACAACGGAGAAAGCGTTCAGGGCAAAGTTGGCCTTAGCTCATAAGACTTTTTCCAATTTTTTTGAGTCAAAAGTTGTAGAAAAAGAGAACACAGATGAGCGTGCTCTGGGTTCTCTCAAGGGCGAGAAGGAGAAGGGCAGGTCGCGCCAGAGTTCCTGGCGGGCATTGCTGAGGAGCAAAGACGCAGAAGGCCCCAAGCGAGCCCCCTCTGTGAGTCGGCTGCCAGGACCACAGGTCCCGAATCCCCTGGACCCACCCCCACAGGTGACCAGCAGCCATTCGGAGGAGTCCGCTGAGAATAAGAACTATGGTTTCAGAGATCTCTGGGGACCTCCGCGGCCTCCCACCCCTTTGTCGCCCAATGGTTTGATCTCTCCAGAACATAGGAGGAAAAGTGAACCAACCATCAAATGCACAGCCTCCCCGGAAGGCGGTAGGTACCTACCCACAGGCATCTTTCCTGAAAAGTCCTGGCTGACGTCCCCCACCAGCCCTGGAGCCCAGCAGGCTGGCATCAGCCGCACCCTGCCCTCCGGCTCTGCCTGCTGCTTGGCGGATGAAAACCAGGGCAGGCCCTGCAAGCCCCTGAGCCCCAAGCCCCTGAGCCCCAGGCCTGGTGTCCAGCGGGAGGATCTCCACTACCCTGGCAGGGGGACCGCTATCTCCATGGTTTCTCTCGGAAGCTACAGCGATGTGGACGGCAGTTCTGTGGTCCCTGGAAGGCCCAAGATCCCCAAGGCCCGGACAAGCCTCCTCCTTTCTCTGCAGACATTAAACCAGGAGGACCAGAAGGAAGACAGTGAGAAAAGAGGCCATCTGCACCTCGGGCTGAGCGCAGCGCCCTCGCTCAGGGACCTTCCTGGGAGTGAGGTGAGTGATCAGAAAATCGCACTCGGGGCCGGCAAGTGGCGTGGTGGTTAAAGGCGCTGGGTTGGGTTCCCACATGGCTGACCGTGGTACGGATCCTGGACTTGGTGGCTTGCTTTCGTGCTTTCCCTTTCTCTCTCTCTCTCTGCCTCTGTCTGATCAAATGAAATAATAATAATAATAACAAATGGAAATAAATAAATAATTCTTAAAAGAAAAGAAAAGAAAATCACACTCCTCTATTCACCTCTTAGACCAAGAAAAGGAGGGAAGCACTTGGCAATTTTTCTAAGGGAGAGGTGAAGTAGGAAGGCCAAACCACAGTTGCCCTAGCTGCCCTCCCAGATTGCACCCTCTTACTTAGCCTCAGTCCACATGGCCTGTGACTGAATGCTGAAAACTGCCAAATTAACAAGCTGGAGTTGGCATTTCATTATCACTTTATTTTGTGTTTCTCCCTTTTCCTATTTAATTTGAGCTATCAGAATTTCCATTTCTATCACGTGCATTTTGGGTATCCTTTGCCCATTTTCTGCCGGGTAGTTGGCTTAGGCTTTTGCTTAAAACTTTAGTTCTTCCTCACGGTGACGTTAAAAAAAGAAAACTCCCTGTGTTGTCTTCTACTACTAAAACTGTTTTGCTTTACTCCGATCCAGTTGGGTTTATTCGGTATAAGGCATGAAGATAGGAGTGGTGGGTGCTCCTGGAAGTTCCATAATGGTAAAACAAACCAGTCTCCTCCAGAGGGACCGCTCCTACCCAGGACAGGGTAACCTGGCGGTGGCTTAGATACAAAAAGGCACACTGGAGCTGGATTTCTCACGAGTCCAGCTGCAGTTGGAAGGAGGGAGCTTTTTGGAAATTCCAGAACGCTAGTACGCTCGGACTATGAAGCAAGCTTCTCTTCACTCCCTTACGTCGCTGGCGCGACTCCTGCCGGCCCGACTTCTGCGTGCCGGGTGAAAAGCGCGCGTGGACAGCGTTAGCCAGGAGCCAGTCCGCTGCAGTTCTCAGGCCCGCAGGCTCCGCCAGCTGCCACCTGTGGGCCACCTGGGGTGCCCTGGCGGTCTCTGGTCTTGGTCAGCGCTGGACAGAGCACCCCCAGGCTCGGTGGTCTGCTGAGAGGGGTGGAGAGTCTTCGCAGTGCCAAGCTGAAGACCCTGGAAGTAGATAGCTGACATTCAGTTGTGATCACTACCCGCTGACCTTAGCCCAAGTCCTCATCTGTAAGGGGTTAAAAATGAACGTGAAAGGTGGTATTTTCCTTTTGGGTTACTTTAAAAATTACTCAATTAAGAAAAAACAAACAATACAGATGTAGATCTCCCTCCAAAATCCCTCAGTATCATTCCACGTTAGAAAACAATATTATGACTATAACGTGTACATCCTGCACTATGATCCCATGTAGATAAGGCTTACAGGGGACTTTGGAGGTGAGGAGCTACACCTTGGGGTCTAGCACAAAGGTTTCTTGTTTGCTTAGTAATACTGCTTGCACAGACCTCCAGCTATGTATATGCATATTCTTTATTTCAAAGTTGCAAAATATTTTACAGTATGGCTATACTGTATCTCATTTAGCTATTCATCCATTGATTGACATTGAGGTAGTTTCTAGTTTGAGGGCATTTTAAATAATGCTGTTACAACAGCCTTGAACATGTCCTTAGGTATGGAGGCTTTTATTTTTTGTGGGATATAAAAGAGGGATTGCACAATGAAAGGATGTGTGCATTTCAGTAGATTTCACAGTACTTTCTGAAATGACTGTGGTAGCAGAACTCAGCAGCAGTATATGAACGTGCATTGCCTGACACCCCTTCGACTTAGTTGCTTATTGCCCTTTCACATTTAAAAAAATTTTTTTTAATGATTATTTTATTTAACTTTATTTGTTTGTTTGTTTGTTTATTTATTTTAATTTGACCAGAGAGAGAGAGAAAAGAAAGCAAGCCTCCAGGTCTAGGACTTGAACTGCAGCTGGCCATGTGGGAGTCCAGCCTCCTTAACCACCATGCCACCTGCTGTCCCTGCCCTTTAACATTTCTGATGATCTGAAATAGAGAACTTGGGTGTAGAATAAAAAACATATTATGGTGTTACCTCTTTCAGAGTAAAACCAAGTAGTCAAAAAAAGACTATATAGTATTAGAATAAATAATGAGCCTGCTTTAATAGTGGTATGTGCTTGTACACACAAACACACACACACAGGAAAACAAACATTCCCAGAGGCCGTCCCTGTGCTCACTTGGACACTGTGGGATGAAGCAGGTGGGCTGGGCCTCAGGCAAGCATCTGGCTGGCTGCATGGGTTTTAGCAAGCAGTATGTAAGGTGATGATTATGAGGTATTGATTGTGAAGTGCCCAGCGAAGGGCTAGATGTGAGGCATCTGGATTTTAACAAATGTCAGTTCCTAGTCCTCTGTCGTTTTTCAATGTTACTCAAGAAAAGGAGGCTTTGCCTGTTACACCAAGACTAGGAGACAGCAGGCACCTTGGAAAGGGAAGGGAGGAATGCTCTGGGAGGCTGGCTGTAGTTATTTGTTGTAGAAGCCAGAACTGCAGTGAGATGGGAAAACTCCGCTGGGAGGTGTGTCTGCTCCATCTCGTGGGTGTTCCTGGGAGAGCAGGCAGTGGTTGTCAGCGTGTTCCTCAGTCAGTATTCCCATGTCTTCTTCCTACAGTGTTTTTAAGGAGCAGCAGTTCTTTTATTACAGTATCTTAAAACCACCATTCTTAACATTTTGTTAAATTTCTTCCAGATTTTTTTTCTATAAGCAAGTTTTATATCTTTAACATGGTTTTGGTCATGCCATCTATAGTGGTTTTAATTTTCTATGATTTTACATCCTGTAGTTTGTTTCTTTAAAGCTCTTTAAGTTGAGAAAGATAAGTCATACCAAAAAGAATAATGCAGGGCTGGCAGGTGGCATGGTGGTTAAGGGCGCTGGACTCCCACATGGCTGACTGTGGTTTGAGTCCCAGACCTGGTGGCTTGCTCTTTCCATTTCCTCCCCC